AAACGGATGGATGAATGAGAGCACGTCTGCACGCTTCAGAACTGGCAGGCGATTCTCCAGACGAAGCAGACACCTCCAACGATGGGGATCAAAGGCAATTTTTCCTTTCTGGATACTGAAATAACTGTGCAACAGGTGTCAGCTTTAAGAAGCCCCGTCCAGTACATTTGCAACAGCGCATTTCAGAACTGTGGAACGGCCAACGACGACAGAATGCAATTCAACCCATTCTGCTCCTTTAGTCCGACTTTTCAATATTCTGTGGTCTCCAACCCTTATCCCGAAGAGCCCCAATCCGGCAGGTCCTATAGGTACAGTAGCCTTTAAATCTTCGTTTTCTTAAGTCCAGGAACAATTTTACTATGATCAGTTAATGAGGTGGTGTGTTCAATTTAGTACTTTAGAGATATTCTGAAACAAAAATCAGGAAATTCTTCCGTCCTTAAGGAACTGCACCCGTCATTGAAACATTACGTGCTTAACTCATTCCTTTAACAGCTGTTCCAAATCTTGAAATAACAAATGATTTGGGGTGACCAGTAGTAATAACAAGATTGGAGCTCCCCAGAACCAGGGTTGGAGACCCCCTGCTATAGTCCCATAAACCCACAAAAGCTTGAAAAGACAGAGAGTTTGGCTAAAAGTGATGCACACGAGAGAAGAGTGTGGCAGCTTCTCACAGAACGGTGCGACAGGCTGCAATTGAACCCAGGACGCAGGAGGTGAGAGTACGTAGTTCTAAGCTCTAAGCAGATCGTTTATACAGCAGAGCTACGTTGCTGCACACCAATAATTATCAAAAAGACTAGCAAAGGACAAAGGAGCTTGCCTGCAATACCATGTGGGATTTTTACAACTGTAATTTAAAACGTATAAGATGACAGAATCCCAAGCCAGAGGCCTATACACAGTCACGGTCAGAAAAAACATGCCAAATTTAAGAGAAAATAACTACTGGCGATGTACTGATTGCATCATGCTATTTCTGAATGTTTGCTGAGGTGTATCTAAGAAGAAGAAAGTGCCTCTTGCTGTTCCATTTCAGGAAATACGTTTTTTTCCACATCGCATTTGGTTTTATCACTTGCCTTTCATAACATTTCCATTAAAGCCTAAAACACGTCCAACACTTTATGACCATCGACTCGTGCTTACCTAACAATAGCAGCCCATTCAGAAAATCCATAAGGCAAAGCTCACATCCCCACATGGCTTATTGACGGCATTTACTGCCAGTAATGAAAGTGGGAATGAGCACACTGGCCCAGATAACGATACAGCTCAACGCAAAGGCTCCAGGTCCACAGGCGTTCAGGGACAAGTCTCCCAGAAGGACATAACCCCACTGCAGGAAACAGGATTTTAGATATTGCAAATCATAATCTCATTACATTCTTCAACAAAAGGCTGAACCAAGAATCTCCCACAGAGGAAGGAATAAGTGCCTACACCAACACTGTAAACGGGGTCCAATCCAACCACAGTACACAATTGGTGAACTATCTCACAATTTGTCTACACAAAGTGGCCGGTAAAATATGACAGCAGCTCTCCAGGGCTGCATGAGGTCTTCCTCGACATCGAAACAGTAGGACAAGAGCATGGTGGCGCAGTGCTTAGTATTGCTGCCTCACTGAACTGGGGCCCTGGGTTCAATTCCTGGGGCACTATCTGCATAGAGATTGTAGGTTCTCCCGTGTTCGAATGAGTTCTTGTCAGGTGCTTTGGCTTCCTCCCACAGACCAAAGACATGCTGGTAGGTTTATTGGCTCCTGACAAAACTGGACATGGTGTGAATATGTGCTTGTCTGTGTGTGCCCTGTTTTGGATTGGTGTCCAGACCAGGGTGTGCCCTGCCTTGCCCCCGCTGCTTTCTGGGATAGGCTCCAGCTCCTCCATGACCCCCAAACTGGAACATGCAGTGAGAAAATGGAGGGATACAAACAAGAAGAAGTCGTTCAGCCCATTCAGCTCATTTGGTTTCGCAACTCTAGTAAGATGTGTGTCACTAAGGGATCATCTCACCCTAGATTAAAGATTAAAGAAAGAACAGGCAGTGATCATACCTCCTGCCTCTATGCTGTGCGCAGACCAGCTCTTCACCAAAGTGTGAGGATCTGGTGAAGATCAGAGGAAGTCCAGGGGATTTCTTGCTCTCTCACTTCAAAAGCAGGCTTGCCTCAGGAGGCTGTCATTAGTGGCGGTATTGACTGGGCTCGTTTACTCTGTCAGGCAGTGCCCTTCATACATTCCTGTCCACTGGGGACTGCTAAACATCCAGGACAATTTCCTTTGTTCGGCCCCGCTTTTCTCTTATTGAAGTTAACCGTAAAACCTGGCATCATAATGTTAGTGAACCCCATGGTAAATTTACCATAACATGCACTCTGCACACATGCAGACTTCTAAGCATCAACAATGGCAAATCATAGTACTATATTATACTAATATTGTATAGCACAGTAAAACCACAGGTTTTACACAATAAACCAAAGGCTTTGTGAAGGAAAGCAACATCAAAGAATAAAAGATAAAAGCACAAAACCATCATGCAACAGCATCAGCATCATTTACCAGGAAATCTTTCACAGGAGCACCCCATGAGCGAGAGAAACAGGTCTGGCTTTCACGTATCAGGGCCTAAAGCAGATGATATTCACCCTCTGTGAAAGTCACAGTGGCAGCTATAATCCCACAAACAAAAAGTTCCCACATTTTTTTCTACATCAGATGTGATCGTTTTCTACTGTACCTATTTTTGATGCATAATATAACGACAACAATATCTCCAAAACCTCTCTCGTTGTGTAATCCAGCCACGCAGGTTACAATGTAAAAAAAAACACTTGCAATTTTCACTAGGGTCCTTGTAAACCTGAGGCAGACAGCACTGCATTACAGCCCAGTAATGACTGCCCAGGATACTCAGACAGGAGAGAGCTCCCAGCCCAAAGCACACAGAGATTAATAATAAATAAAGGCAATCAGACACAGCTAGTGTGTTTATTAGCAAAAATTATACATTATGCATCAAGGGCTATCAATTAGAAGATACAGTCCACCTGCCTGGCCACTGGGGAGGACTGGTCTGGTAGAAAAACAAGACCAAGATTGCATGTTGAATTCAATTAGTTATCCAAATGCCAGGGCTCCCCAGAGTACAGCTGAAATGTTAGGCCCCAGCATCAGACCAGGCTGAGACCACCTAAGCCTAGTTCTGCTTTCCCAAGTGACGTGAAGATAAATTTATACCAGGGTCTCTCAGTCCTGGTCCTGTAGGCCCAGACACCTACTGGTATTGGTTTAATCCGAGCTCTCAATTTAACTGAGCTACAGCTACAAGGTTGTTTTTATCTATTTGAAAGCTGAGGATTTTAAGTTTCTTATAAAAATGCAATAGATAACAGGCAATCTTCAAAATGTTTAACAGCTGAAAACAGATAAAGTATTCCAACTGATCCTACTTAATTACTGAGCATTATTAATGCTACAACTATGTGTCTGTGCAAAGTATGTAAAGACCAACAGGTTTGTGGTTCATTGGACCAGAACTAGAAATCTCTAACTTAGACAACAAGGACTAATTAAGACTCTGGTTATTCAGAACTCCTCCTATAGATTAAAGGAACAGCAAAGACGACACCACATTGACAAATGGGTTTCTGCAGCTGGCAAGACAGCAGCAGGGCTTAAACGCAGACTTGGAGGTGGGCAGTAAAGACAACCATAATAAAAAGCTGTTGAGATAACGTGGGTGGCAGAAGCAGAGGCGTGTTGGAGCGCTGGTGGCTCCTGCCCTTGTGTAAGCACTTGTCAAGCACAGAGGAGATGTTTTGGTATCAAATTCACTATCTGTTTTACAAATACAGTGCGTCCTCCTGCAAAGTTCTGCATTTGTGTTTCTTCTTTTGTCTCACTCTGCTAGCGCATCTTATTGATTTTGTTCTAAATAAGGCAAGGGGAAATGGTACCAAGTGGGGAATGTTTTAAAGGGCGTTGCCCCGTATCATAATACGCTTGCATGCATTTCTGAATAATCATGCTTAGTACTTGCTGCTGCATTTCTTTGTGATCTAAGTCTAAATTTCATCTTGACTAGACCTGTTAAAGCCTTAGACTCTACTCCATCAAAACATCCCTGATTGTATTATTCATGCCAGATCCTTTTCAGTACTTCAAAGCATTCCATATTAATTACTGGAAGAAAAATCAAAAGCTCCTTCTTCACCAGCGGTGGACATCTAACCAGTGTAAAGCAACCAACAAGTGGCGTTCAGTCAGCTGGCACCTGCAGCTGTGCCAGGCTGGAGAGCAATGCCAGTTCAGGCACGTGCCAGGAATCGAATCTTCCATTCAGGTGTCTGACCTGTCGAAGGGAGGAGGTGGGGATCTGGCAGGTTGAAACGGGCTGGGGCAGCTCTGACTCTCATCCGCATGGAGACCAATAAAAGCTCCAGGACAACGCTTAGTGCCCAGCACAGTCAGACTGACACAACCCCCTGCCCTTCAGGTCACTTTCCACTGTTAATAGCACGAAGGTCACTGATCTTAAAACAGTGATGTTTAAAACGGGGAGTACTGAAATCCAGGCAAAATCCTGGATTTTACATCTAATGCAGCTACAATTTCAACCATGTGTACTTGACACATGGAAAATAAATAATAAAATATAAAAATATTATTATTATAAATAATAAAAAATAAAAAATAGCAAAATGCCAAGCAGAAAATAATGGATTAATATAGTGCACCATCCTGTCCCGTACAATATGCTGACAGTCCAGTAGAATAAAGATATTTATTGCAAGGGGTGGTCGTATTATAAAATTATAAAATTCAGTATTCGACTCATGCTATTTGGAAGGGCTCTAGAGACATAGATGTAGTTTATTTTGATTGTCCCCCTAATCAAGCAGGATCAGCAATCATTTCCCAAACCTCTGACCGCTCAGAGGCAAAGCCTCATCTACACCGCCCCTGCGCTCCACCCAGCGGCTCACCTCGCCTTTCTTCACCGTCATGGACTGCCGGCGAGGGGTGATCTCCTCGTTGATGCTGGACAGGAAGTTCTGGGAGATGCGGAGTGCGTCCTGCAGCAGCGGGTGGTCTGGGTGACCGGAGGGAGTGTGCTTCAGCAGATCCTGATCCAAAACACACAACACACGGCCTTGAACGGCGGCCACCACAGAGACACCCCCCTGCGGAGACGGAGCACTCGGGACACATGTCAAACACGCCGCTGCTATGAAGGAGGAATGCAAGCACAGGAACTGTGGTTGTCTGCCACACGGTTATGCAGGAAATGGAAAATGAACTCAACGGCTCCCAACAGCTTTCTGTTGCTCAGTCAGAGCCTTGATTGAATTACATCCAAAATATATCCACACACCTCTTTACAATAACAAGTTTATCAGCTGCAGCAAAATGCCAATGAAGAAATATGGTAGAATTTTAAACAATCCCATGTATTTTACTGAGTGAAGGAGCATTCCTTTTTATAATAAAGGCCTCATACTGTACTGTATGTCCGTATCCTATGTGCATTGCAATGTCTACAGACGGTAGCCCTCAATTGGAATATGGGGAGATGAAAATTGCATTGCTTGTGCAAAGCCAAACATGAGATTTTAATTCGAAATCGATAGACACCAGGACATCTGCTGCAAGGTACGTGGGACATAACACATAGGAAAAATCTTTGCTGTCAGGCTGCTGCATTTCTCCAGAAAAAGCAGTAGCCAACCAGAAAAGGCGTGACGCACTAACACACTTTTCCCTTTGGACCAGAATTTCCAAACCAATGTCCTGGTACAGTATCCAGGAGCGCTGCGCCAAGCGAGGTGCAGGCCTTCAAATTAGACCTTAAACCAAGATCCTCTGGTCATTAAACATTCCAAGGCTCTGTTCATAAAGTTTAGGGTGCTAACCCTGCAGTCTTAGTTGACTTCCACTCTGGACCTGTATAATCTGGCCTTCCCAAATTTCCTCCTTAATCCAAAGGGTGCCATCACTTCTCACGCTACCTCAAAGTGCAGCTGTTTAGTCCGGCTGCTGGTGCATAATGACTGCGGCATGTCACCCCATGGGTGTCACTTTTCAGTGGTGATGAAGTGGATCCACCTCCTTTATGTGGAGCACTTGGGATAATAAGCTATTTACATGCAAGCTACTGTTAATTTGTATTATTAATTATTAATCAGTGTTTGGAAAGTCTGTGTTTTGTACTATAACATTGTGGGAAGTGGGGGACTCTTGTGGCTTATAAATCGATTTAAGTTTGCGCACCCCAGATGTTCTGACTGTGTTGTTCACATCTGTTTTTACTTACATGCAAGACCAAAGTGCTGCGGGTTACTCTGTCAACAGGCTTGTAGAGGAGAGCTGAGCAGAAGAAAAAAGATCTCAGCACACAATCCAGAATGTAAATCCTTAATTACAGATGAAACACAGGACTACAGTAATGTATACTGGCTCTTGCCTAGCATTCATCCATCCATTTTCTAACCACTTCTACCAATTCAGGCTCAGACACCAGGACACAGAGCACACACAGACACAGACACATACATAGTCACACCAGGGCCAATCGTCTCAAAAGCCACTCAACCTACCGGCATGTCTTTGATCTGTGGAGGAAATGGGAGGAAACCCACACAAACCCAGGGGGAACATACAAACTCCACACAGACAGCACCCCAGGTCTGGACTTGAACCCAGGGCCCCCAGCTCTGTGCCCCAATGCCACCCCCGAACATTCAGAATTAAATTTTGCACCCACATTCCTGAAGAGCTAAAGAAAATGTCTCAACACCTACACAAATTTGACAAGGTTAAACTGAGGATAACTGAAAAGACTTCAGGTTTGGAGAGCACTCATGAAGAAATAAGTCATGAAATGAGTCATGAAGAAATAATTGTTCTCCCTTGAGGTTCTGCCTACAGATTTGTCTTATCAGGCCCATGGGGGTTATTATATCATAGTCACATGTAAAATGGGCACACTAAGCTACTTTCCCACAGGTTCAGACCCTTTGTGTGTAACTAATAATACTAATCCGTGGCGTGAGGGCGTCTGTCCAGAAGGGAAGAGGACACTTACTTTCCAAAGAGTTCTTGGAGGTTTGGTCCTTGGAATCCTTGGTACTTCTGACCTTTAGATTCTGCATAAATGCAAGAACAAACAAAAGTCTCGTTATGCAGCATCAGCTCAAAAGAATTAATGACCTTTGAATAGGTGAAAAACAAAAAAAAATCAGTAGGATCAAAAGAATAATATCTTTAAAGGGCAGATACTGTAAGAGACAAAAGCCGTCCGACCTTCTCATATACTTAAGAGGAAACCAAAATATTCATGCATGCGGTTTTGAAATTTGCATGTAGTTTGCAGATCACCGCAATGATCTTTAGAGAATATCACATTAAGACTCTTGCATAATATAAACAGAAATTATAGAGTAAGATTTATCCTCTGTGCGACGTCAGAACTTCTCGAGATTCCTTTCCGAGTAAATTATATTCTGCAGTCTTTTTGAGGTCAGTATAATAGGGATGTAAATATTTTCTTTTGCACAACACAATTAATCTCCAGCCCTTATCCTGGAGAGCCCCAATCCAGCTGGTTTTATATCATCTTTAATTTCCATCCCAGATTCCACCGTTACTGACACTGACACTGGTGCGCACACACACACACACACGTCCACTAGCTGTTAACACACACATGGAGGAATCTTCATACTGTAGTTCTAGGATTTAAAAATAATTATACACAAATAAATTAAGCTTCATGTAAATGTACATAAAAAAAGACCACTCTCTATAGCAGTGTTTCTCAAACTGCTATACAACACCTCAGGCAGGACTTCAGATAACTGGCAAAATTCTGAATGTGGATATACTTTCTGATCCCTCAGCAAAACATCTAACACCACCGACCAACAACACACCTCTTTTCTGATGCACTGATTTATCCAGTGTTTTATCCACAATCCTAATGTGTATCACAGTCACCAACTCAAATACTCAAAGAGAACAGTAATTTAAAGATTTTGAGCATTCCCTTACTTTGAAAACTAAGCCACCTGTATATCAGGATTTGTGTCCAGCAAAGTCTTCTCCTTGCTTAACCTTGACAATTCAATCCAAAAAGTGGTGAACTTTTCATTTCTAAAATGTCTACAACATACAACGTGAAGGCTTAGCAATTTCTATGGACCATGGTGTCTTTTCTTAGGTACTCTTAGGCCAAAAAAAACGAACATCTTCTTAATATTATATTCTTAAAATGTATTATTACGAACTGGGAGTCTGCTTTTGGCAAGAAGAGGAAGACTAATGTTTTATTAAATTCATCTTACAGGGACTTTTCTCCTGGAAAACAATGCTGTGAGCTCAGAATGCACTGAGAAGGCTGGTTCACGTAAGCAGTTTGGTGCTATCCCACTTAGGGTACTTATCATTCCTACAGTAGATGATATCCAGGGAAAAGTCTGGAAGTCAATCCCATTCTTTACTGGAGAGAGTTAACTCCCCGTGCGGAGAAACCTCCGGAGGAAGGATCAGTCCCTGCCCCTAATCCTACTCCTGATGACGCCATACCTCCGAGATTTCGGCAAACTGCGAGTTGGCCTGGCAGCACTTCTCTGCGGTTTCCACGGCGATCTCGTAGTTGTCCACAAAGGCCCGGTACAACCCAAGCTGACTGGCCTGCAAAAGGGAATAAAAGACATATCAAAAACTGGCAAGCACAGACAGAGGACAGAGAAACCACTTGCAGTATCGCAAGGGAACTCAGCATGACAAAGGCCGTAAAATAAAATTATTTTCCCATCTTTATACTGTATATAAATGTTAAGAAAGGTACAAAGTAGAGGAGGCCAAACTTGAATTTGCTGTTGGTTCATCCACCTATTTTTTTTAAAGATCCTTGGTATCTGCTTTCATAACGTGGCTAGGCTCTGCTTCATAACCCTACAATAATGTAAATAAGCACCATTTTATGTTTTAATATAGAGAGAGGTTAAAAAACAGGAACACATTTCTGCACTCCCAACACGTTTCCAAAAATGTTAAGGAGTGATAATGTATAAAATTATACAGTATGGGATTGAAGCTTAAAGAAAAATAAACAAATTAATTTAGTCTTTTTTTACAATACCTAATACAGTATTGCATTTTTCTGAACTGACTGTTGTTTTATTGTGTCTCATCAATTCTATGTATGAAATATTACAGAACGTTTGGTTTTTGTTTCACATCTGTTTTTGTGTCCAGTTTTCCAGCTGACGGTTTTGCTTGCTGGCTATAAAATATCATTTTTAAATAAGTAAAACTAAGAAGTTCCCTCTAAAACAGTCTCTGTCAAATTTAGATGAAGTCTTTTTTAAAACAAAACAAAACAATACTGCAGCAAAGTCAACTATTCTAATTAAAACCTATAAAAGCAAAACAAAAAGCTATAACATGAGGGTCATGAAAGGACTAGTCCCCAAGGCAAGAATATCCCCTTTAGGGCCTAATCCAGTTACTATGACAACAGAAGCCAGACATGCAGTTAAGAATTCATGGGTCTAAGTATTGTGTTTTAAAACCTCAGCCTCATTTAGAAAAAGGAACAGGGATTTCATTTAGTTGTCTGGAGGCTTTAGCACAACTCAGCATATAACTCAGTGATACAATTTACCTCTTTCTAAATGAATTCTATTTTAATAACAGAAATATATAAAGACAAAACCTGACAAAGATTAAAAACGTGAAGATGGCTGTGATAAGGAGATGAAAAACAAGACCATATCTCATTAGAAATCAAATGGATAGACTTTCAATATTTTTTTAAATAGCTCAATTTGTCTTAAAAATTCACTCTGTGCTTTAAACCAGACCAAAAAACTACAGTACTACACACTGCATTAATTCTACACATGCAAATGAAAATAACTCTAGCCATTACATCTGCATCAGCAGTGTTATAAGGAAAACATTGCTGATGTAAGCAGTTTCCTTCCTAACCTTCTTTAAACACTTGGTAAGAGGCAGCTTTGTGGAGTGTTTAAGCACAGGTTGAGACAAAACAAATGGATAATTCTCTAAATTGTCAAAAACACTTTGTTCTGTGAAATTACTTCTACAATTGTCTGCAACTTGCAAACTGCCCGAGTAGAAAGTTTTCCTTCAATGTAAAAGGTACTGTATATACCAGGTCTAGAAAGCTGGACACGCACAATGATCCCATTTGTACAGTCATTCTCCACTCTGCTCGGGCCCCAGAGGTAATGGATTAAAAAGATCCAGTGGGCCTGATCCCCAGCTCGTTCAACATTACCCCAGCAAGGCTCTGCAGTCCATTTAATGGGTCAAAGGTCACACAAACCAAATTACTGGTCATGGAGGAAGCAAGAAAAGCTGATTCAGAAAGCAGCTCATTTGTCAAGGTCTGAAATGGAGGCACTTGGAAAGTCAGGGGTGTCATAAGGGAGGTTGTACTTCTAAACTATTTCTGTTAAATACACACCTTCATGCTCCCTAGATCATCTGAAACATGAGAAACTGTCAGCAGCCAAATCACACTGCAGCTCACAACTAGCAGCCCACTGAAGCTCAGCGGTGTGAGCCTGGTCAGTACCTGAGAGGGAGACCTCCTTGGAAAGCTGAGGCTGCTGCTGGAAGAGGAGTTAGTGGGACCAGTAGGGGGCGCTCACCCTGCGGTCTGTGTGGGTCCTAATGACCCAGTATAGTGACGGGAACACTATACTGTAAAAAGGCGCCATCCTTCAGAGGAGACGTAAAACCGAGGTTCTAACTGTCTGTGGTCATTAAAAATCCCAGGGTGTGTCTCGAAAAGAGTAGGAGTGTTACCCCGACGTCCTTGCCAAATTTCCTGTTGGCTTTTACCAATCATGGCCTCCTAATAATCCTATCTATGAACTGGCTTTATATGTAGTCCCTGTCCAGGGTTTGAACCATGCTGAAAACAAACATTTCTAGTCTTGACGAACTGAAATATCAGCTGCGAGTACAGGAAACGGCTTTCTTAACACTTCTGGAAAGCAAACATTATGTTAAAATATGATTATATCTACCTCTGCACCTAACACCTAATGCAAAGAGGCATTTTAAGAATACAAATGCAAAATGTTGCCATGATTTAGTGCTTTATAGAGTTAAAAAGAAATCACTTTCAATCTTAGTGTGCACAACAACATTCCATCTAAAAATCTATTTCCTTCATTTTTAAAGAAATATTCATAATAGCAATTTTAAGACGCTGACATATCGTTCGTGAAAGTTTCTGGTTACTTTTTCTATATCTATCACCACTGGATGCATCAGAACAATATTTCCAACATGGAACCTTTTTTTATTACTGTTTGGAAAGGATGTTGGAGCATTTGTCCTCAACTATGCACAAGCTTGCTTGTCAGCACAGTCCCACAGTTTTGATCAATAGCAGTATTGATTTCAGTGATTTACAGTACAAGGAAACCGGGAAACAAGATGTGTCAAGTTGCAGGTGCTCACAAATTCAAATGGCAAGTTTACTATTTTTTCCACAGTAAATAAAGGTCACATACAGTACAGAGCTATCACAGCATACTGTAGTCCAGAAAGACCTATAAGGTAAAAAAAAAATGTATCTAAATTTGTCCTGCGCTTTTCCACCTCATTGTTTTGCCATGTCGCCTGTGAAGAGCTGACCAAATGGTGGGGAGGTGCCAACACACTGAAGACTGAAGCTTCCCTGTCCAGCTGGAACAGGCTGAGCTCTAATGAAAGCCTAAATGAGAGGTAGGAACGGAGTGTCCGCCTCTTCATCTGGCAGGTTAATCTGTTTGGGCTTGAAAATGATCCCTCAAGAAAACAGGGAGAATTGGCAGCACTTTCTTGAAAAGGCCTGGGCAGAGATAGATGCAGTCCCTTGCAGAGCAATAACAGTTTAATAGAGCACCTGCTGGCTAATTCTGTGCAGGAACAGAAGTCTCAATATGAAAGGCCCCCATAGCCATCTACTGCATGTGTGACCCAGCGCTGGAGGTGAATGAAGGAAATGAAGCGATCTCGCATTTACACAGACTTTGGTGTACTTAAGGATACCAAAATCAATGTGGAGGTCCTGTACATGCTTTAAATGCATGGTTTTGTCTCCAATCCAATGCAGTTTGATGCTTCACACTGTATGGTGCAAACAAATCGAGGCATGTGGACTGATAAGACAAACTATGTGGTTTGAAGGAGAGCTTTTTTGTTTATGCAGGAGAGGATGCACATGTATTCACACTGCTGATAAATACCTTCAAAGTCCCTATTAGCCCACTGAACACTCAAACTAGCAAACAGTTCATATGCACACCAATCGTCTAAGTCAGAGAACACCTATACCACCCGGAGTCTGGGAGGAGTCCAAAGTCAGGATCTGTATAGAGGGAGGAATTTAAGTGCTAGACAAATGACTGATTGGGAGTAGTGATGTTAAAAATTAAATAGAGTTATCCAGCTGAGAGGGCTAGACACAGAGAAGCAGACCTTTTATGAACACAGCAGTCCAATACTTTTAAGAATTTCCTGACACCCGACATCTGCACACAGCTAGAGAATGAACACATATTTCACATCATAACTACACATCTGTTCATGCAAATCTACACACAATAAAAGATAACAGGTTTGAAATCCACAGTGCCTGGTGATAGCTTATATAACAAGGCCCAGGGCCTGCGGAAACTAAATGAATCACACAGCTCAGTAATGCTTTTTTTTCCCCAATTTCCCTGAGACACAATGATCCCAGGACACACATTATACGAGCAAGAATGATGCAGCCCAGTCACTGTGAGGATGCCAGTCAAAGACTAGGCTCTCAGAACGCTGATGAATGTTCTGTTCCAGTAAACTGGCAGGACACAGAGCATGCAGGAGAGCAGCCGTGACCAGATGAATATGGGTCACCTCAATTAGCAATCTGGATTCAATTCCCACCATGATGACAGTTGGATGCGAGTAGCTGCAAGAAGAGAGTCTGCTTCTTGTTTGATATTTTGTTTTTATTTCGCTGCAATTTCACTCTCACCCCCAACTTTTTTCCCCCAGCTGCCTGGTGGCAAGGCACTGCCAATTGTAACCGGGTCTGCGACAGGATCAGGTAAAAAGAGAGGCACACCAGCAGCCATCTGCTGCACAAATCAAAAATCCCAACCACAGAGCTCCGTTAGAACAGAAGTGGCTAATGAAGACAGATGTCAAAACATCAGTTTCTAGACACTTTTTATATCTTTAAGCTTCCCAAAGGAAGTGTTTGAAATGGCAGTTGAAGGGGGAAAAAAAACAATAATAAAGTACAGTATGTTTCCTGCAACCTCTAATGTCACATGGATGGTGATTACAGCTCTAATCAAAGCTACTGTCATCACTAATGTTAACTGAAAACTGGTGTTATTTTCCAGATATATTCAGTGTTTTTATTCTATACTCGAGAGATGTGATTTTACAATGAAAAAGTGGTCAGCAATTTTGATTCCAAGTTAAGATAAGGCAGAGTACAAAAGGGAAATAAAAACTAATAAACACACTGCCATCATAAAAATGAATACTTCTCGAAGACAGACAGGAAGGAAGAGTTTGTTGTGGTCGGTCAGAACAAGCCTTTTCTTAATTATAGGAGATTAAATGTTGAGCAGCCAAACATTAAGTGACATTAAGCTATGATCTCATCAAGCGTGTCTGTGGAAATCCCAAAGTAAACTACAAGCCCTGCTCCATCACAGCCCTCGCCACGGCAACAGGCTCTTTAACAGGCCTTCCTGTTTGTCTTCCTCTTAACCCCTACACTTACCAGTTCCCACCTAACCCACTGTGCTTGAGACCAGAGACACTGTGTCTGCCCTGCGTTTACAACATAAAAGCCCAGGGATGGTGATCATTTGATGAGATTTACTGTACCAGTGATGTCTGCTTGCTCGGCAACGTTCGAGGCAAGAAAAATCAACCCCCGACAGACAGAAAACACCATGCCTTGTTTTTTTCTTGTGAACACAAAACCTCTCCCTCTCTAAGAAAGATTAATATAAAAATCGCACAGCAGAGGAAAAGGTCGCGCAAATTCAAATACAAAAAATAAACAGTCCAGCGAAGAGTCTCCACAGCCAGGCCTGGAGTTGAACCCAGGAGCCCAGCGCTTTGAGGCAGCAATGCTAACTACTGTGCCACCCATTTTATCACACAGACCGAAAAGTCTCTGTTGAATCTACATCAATAGCCTGTCTCTGAGTGTTCTGAGATTACCCAATAAAACAGAGTGCTTCATAAAAATTAAATCTGAACTTAATTGCTGCGACATACCCTGGAGGTAGCGTGGCTGAAGGGTACACTCTGATAAAAGTCTCTAATGAAAGGCAGAAAAATTAGGTACTTCAGTGAGAGGAGAACTCATTCATTTAAGTAATGCTCATAAAAAAATGTCAGGCCTTAGTTTCAGTTTAACAAGCTAGAATGCATTCAGGGACAGATTTCTGACACACGGATTTCAGCACAAGCAATCAAACTAGGAAATCTTGAACGAAGCCGTCTCTCAGAAATGATCTTTTTCCTTTTAGTAGCTGCAATACAGTCTCCTTTTATCGGAAAAGAAAAAACTGGCACAGAGGGAAGTCAGTTCAGTAGCTTGTAAAGGCGCTTATCTCTGATATCTCGACATCTAAATCAGCTCGACTTGAGTCATCAGAGGCTCGTTTACTCTAAAATGCCTTCCCGGAGCTCGTCAAAGGAAGCCTGCCTGAGAGAAATTACAGGCAACATCCTGTGATGGTGACTGTGCTAACGTCAGTTTACTCTGTAAATGAAGTGACTTTTCTTGGTCTTGGATCTTATGGGACAGGGTTTGTTTTTGTAATGCCTTAGTTGATATAACAAAAAGCAAAACACCAAAATTATTCCAGTAAATGAATATTCGGCAATGAATAATGCACACAAATCAGCATCCGAGGACATCAGGATCAAAATGTAAGGCAGTTAAGGAAGGTCACATGGGTCAAAACTCCTTCTGTGTGACTCAAAAATAGGACTGCTGTCCTTATCAATATCTATCTTAGAAGGAAAACCTTTAAGGGTTATTGTGTTTTTGAATTTTTCACTAGGAATTATGGAAACAGGAATATTAACTAGCTGTGGCTGTTTCACAACACTAGAAAACAGACCTATCTAAACAGAACTCTATAAAGGTAGGATTCACCATTCACCATTATTAGGGTTCATCAGCGTGGCATAGCTAACTAAACAAATTTAACAAGACATGTATGCTTGCAAATTATTTATGTCAAGCTTCTGAGCTAGTTTATATAACCACTAGCAAGCAGGTTATGCCTACATTATACGTGATTTAGATTATTTATTCTCTTCATGTGTGCACTAAAATTAATGATGAGGCTTTCGAGCTCATTTTCTTGCTAGTTTATGTTTCTATAAGAATTTTATGGATTCATAATACATCAACAAAACTTTGAATGTTCCATTTGTCCCAATTAAAAAGGATCTACAGTACTTTCTGACACTGCAGAATATGCACTGTATGTGCTCATTGAGAGGCTCTGCCAGAGTCTGTGTGCATGCACACACCTTTGGCTTCAGAGAGCAGGTTGGAGAGAGTGTGACACTCACATATTGCAAACGTTTGCACCAGAACACTTGTACTTCTCGTAGGAGGATGAGAGCCTGTCACAGGGAAACAGGTAACTTCGAAGGCGGCGGTGAGTGTATTCCTTTACAATTAAACTACTCTTAACTTGCAGAGAAGCCCAGTGCCTCAGGCCTGAGGAGAAAATGCTCATGAAACGGTGACAGTTTTTTGCTACTTTTAGAATCCGCCTGGACCGGCTGCCTGGCTCAGCAATGTGCCCCTTGGCAATGTGCTCCAGGCTCCGGCTTTGGAGTGGGGATGTCTCTTGTTTGTAGATAAATAATTACATTTTATTAGTCGCAGCAGGTGGTTGGGGAATGTTCTCCACCAATCAATTACTGCCCAGCACCATCTGCTTTCTTTGCTTGCCTTTGAGCACCATAATGGCACTGACTCCCATCTGCACTGCTAGAGAGGAGAGAGTCACCTCACAGAGAGACGAGTCCTCAGGAGATATTGTGTTTGTGTGTTTGTGTGTGTGTGTGTTTGTGTGTTTGTGTGTTTGTGTGTGTGTGTGTGTGTGTGTGTGTGTGTGCTCTTCTCTACATCTGTTGGTGCTCCAGACAAAAAGAGATACAGGACTTGAGGAAAGGGACCTGAGGCTGAGAATGGGAATGGGAGCTACAGGAATAGTTCATGAGGATAAAATAGACAGTGCAGGGCTGAAGTGTACAGCTCCACTCCTATTTTATGCTTTTAAAGCTCTGAATGATCTAACTGAACTAATTATTAGCTTAATCAGACCAGTTTGACAACTTCTTACCAGATTTCTGGGTATACCCATTGTGCCTATAGAGCCCTATAAAACAATGAATTACAGCCTCCCCGCTGTACGGCATTTTATTAACTTCAATTAATAAAACCAAGACAAACCAGTATCACAGCACTCAGTTGCCAAGATGACAGGCTACACTGTAAAACGACCAAGATTTAGGACATAGTAATTACAGTCTGTCTTAACACTTTTTTGACTTACTGGGGAAATATATTGGTCACAATTTATTTTATTTATCAGTAATATATAAAATATAGTATACATAATAGTATTACATACTATCAGTATATTCTGATTCCATGAAGATTTGAATGAATTTTAAGGTTGCTGTCATTTCTTGTTTTACTAGTTTATGCTAACACTTCAGGCTAGCCCTATTACTGGTTAAGCAATAGGTTTCCAGTCCATATTTCGGAAGAGCTCTCTCCTTACCAGTTTCTGGAACAGGTCTCCAACGCACTGGTGGTGGCTCCACTGTTGCACTCGGGGCAGAAGGCCATCGTAGAACTCGCGGTGGATCTCGTAGAGCTCAGGCACTTTGAAGAAGATGGTCTCGATCTGCGGCATGGTCAGCACAGGCTGAGACGTGGTGGCGGCGGCCTTCAGCGGCTTCATGGGCTGGACAGGACGCAAAGACAGGAGGCGGCGGGAATGAGCAGCGGCCCTAGAGATGCTCAACCTCGCCGCTGAAACCACACACAGGCGCTCTTCCGACAAACACAGCCCGGGGCCTCACTAAGGCAGGGGTGGTCTTCTTGGGGTTCACTACCAGAGAGGTCGAGAGCCCTGACTCTCTGAATGGCACCCTGCGCTCGTGCGGGGGCTGTCTCCCCTCCAGGCTGCGGGGTCTCAAGGGTCAATTGCTCAGTGAAGAGGTCCATGCATTGGTACCATACCAAAGCCATGAGACACGATGGAGGGTAGTGCCCCTGAATGAGGGAAAATGCACCAAGAGCCAGTGCAGCTGACGTCTTTTCAGGACTTTTCCAGACATTAAAAACCTATGGAATATATGCGGGCCACTTGTTAACAGCTGTTGAACAGCCCATGCTGTACTGCGGCCATTTTCCTTTACAGGAGCCTATTAATTGCTCTGCAAAGCCTTGCACGTTTGAGTTGAAGTATGAGAAACCACCCTTCCACATTCCCAGGTCACAAGCTCCCCGGTGTCCCAGGAGGGGAGGAAAGGGCAGAGCAGCTTGGGAAGAGAGGACATCTGCAATTTCAAAACCAATTTTAGATTCTGAGCACAAGGCAGGATAAGGTAAGGCCCATTTACTCCAGCTTCTTCCACAGGGCACAATCTCCAGACACCGCCGGACACCTGTTGTTCGTAATTCTTTGTTCTCTCTCTCCATCAGCGGTGAGGCTAGCGATGGAAAGAAAGTGAGGAGGCGGGGTTCTGAGCCCTCTTCCCCACTAGTTCCTACCCCTCCTCTGAAAACTGCATCGTTACTGTATGAGCTGCACCAGATTTGTCAGATACTCAGCAGCCGTAACATATCAGTTCTGGCAGCTTGTGGTTCATACTAAGGAATACAAAACAACTTAATCAGCTGGCAAATGTGAAACAATGTTAAAAGAGGACATGAAATTCACCATTGGCTTACAGCGGGGGAGGGGGTTTAATCGCTCCATAAACAGCAGAGCTATTGCTGGAGAACATAGCACAAGGTAAAGATTGTCCAAGAAACTGGGCCAGATTTAGGGTGGATTAAGATTTGCAGTGATGTGTGTACTGATGTTGGCAAACAAGCGATTAGTTTACGTCACAGGAACCTATCCATTTGTAGATGTGATTTTGGCCAAGTATGAGACAGCATTGTTCAGAGGAGTCAATTGAACATGCAAATTTCAATTGTAAGTAGGAACAAGTGAAGATTTCAGCAGAGAACAGCCCAGTGTAATTCTGGATCAGTCACATATTGCATATATTAATATGTAGGAACTTAAATCAATGTGGCTTTTTTAAGTGTGAATTTAGCAAGGGTTTCTAAGTCTATCCTCCTTTGATAGGGCTGTACAACCATCATCTATCCTGGAATTTGAAAACAAAATGTTCTTTACTACTTGTTTCCAACAAACAGTGCTATTTGCTTGTTGGCACTCTGCTTTTACCGTGGTCATCAATGATGGGTTTTTTAAACAGGTGCTTCAGAAGTCGTAGAAGACCATGGGATAAGATTTTAGAAAGGCTGGCACATTTCTCACCAGCAACAAGGCCTCCAGATGGCTGAGGTATGTCTCTTCACTGGCCAGGATCCCAGACAGCACCCACTTGCGCATTTCCAGGCCTTTCTCCAGGTCCAGCTCACCCTGCGAAAGAGAAAGATTTGGGATGAAGCAGACTTCCTCACACCTCACACACACAAACCATGTAAAATGCCCCAGTGATGGTCTTGCACCATCCTTCCCCGATAAGTGAGAGATGATCAATTCAACACTTCAAAAACAGAGCAATCCCCTTCCCAGTGTAGTGTCCAGTAGGTGAATGCCCAGAAACCTGTAGTTAACCACAATATTTTAAAACACAAATCAATGTTTTCTGGCACAGACAACGTATCTACTCTAAGTCAATGCAATTTGCACAGGAGCATGTACGACATGAGCAGGAATCCGTTTCATCCCGGCACCCTGCACCCACTCCAGAAGGAGCACAGGTACCCACAGGGCTCAGCTGCTGCGGCCACCACGCACAGGAACATCTTCCTCTTGTATTCATTCATCACTTTTGATTTGCTCAACTAATAAACGATTCCATCTTTGACTTTCTTGACTGGAAAAAATGAAAAAAATAAATGAAAAAAACCTTTCAGGAGCCTGTCATTTTGAAAAGAGTGGGAGCTGGCAGCTGGCTCACAAACTGCACATGTGATACATTGCCCTGGGGGCGATCTTGAATCTTCTCCCACTGGAGAGGAGAGGCGGTTTTCCGAGGCCGAAGCGCGTTTGTGTTTCTGTGCTCCTTCCAGATCTCCCACCCTCTTCCAGCCCATTTCCCGTTCTAACAGTGCAGTGGTGCACCCTGGCCTTTGGGAAGTGTGACTGGGAGACTTTCTGGTGGCAGAAGCAATGTGGGATTTGAATTACAGGGCTGTCCAAACTGTGCAATAACATAAGGGTGAATACTAATGCATGAATCCACGCTTTGCATGATTTATTTATATATATGCACCCTGTAATACAGTATAAGCATGTGATATGTATTTAAGCAGACATATCCTAACCGAGACAGCGTAAAAGCCTACAGTATGTTAACTCATTCTGGAAAGCAAAGAAACACTCTCGTGTGCATTTCAAGTGTAAAACATGGTATGCTCTGTCTGTTAGTGACACAATATTAAACGCCAAAAGTGACAAACTGATTCATGCAATTTGCTACAGTGAATTATAAATGTGCAGCTTGTAAGTGTGAGGGATGCCAAAATCACCTAAAAAGTACAAAACTCCTGCAATGCAATGTGAAAGCACTTGATTACAAGGAGTATTAGATTATTTCTGAAATGATAATACACCTTTCTTTGCTATTATCACCCACAACATTCCTACTCCTGACACATTTATATTTAGATTAAAATGCATGCAAACAAGATTTATTTACTTTTATTTCATTGTGTGGAGTGTGCAAGTTAGAAGTCTGTTCATTCAGAATAAGTGGACTAGTTTAGTTTAGGTGTCATGCTGCACTAGCCTTAAATGTCTGCCGTTATCCTTAATTCACAGAAATTAAAACATTCAACACAATGAAATGGACACTGGCACATTTTTTTTCTGTCATAAATAGTGTTGTGTTCTTAATTATTAAAGAAACAAAGGATTGCAAATATTTATTCATACTTTCTAAGATGGATACTGTAGCAGAACCTGCCATCAGGGACACACATAGCCCTCTAGATAATCATAATTTATTTATAAACTGTTCTAAATAAAATATTCTGAATTTTAGATACAGGAAAGTGATCTTAGCTGATCTAACAACGCTTACATCTCATGCGCTTTGGGAATCGATTCTGAGACAGTTGTACTTGGGTGTTTGCTTTCTTAAACATACATTAAAAACACCCAATTTAGAAAGAAAAGCTCATTGAGCTATATGACTTTGTTTTAAAAAACATCTTGAAAATGATACATCTACACGGGCTCATGGACAGTTTATTTAATGTTGTTCTAGTATAGTTAAAATCATATCAGATTATTTTACTTCAGGTCATATTGTACAGTATCAGTACAACATTCAGCATTCTTCAGGGCATGTTCCTCAAGTATGTGCAATGATGTACCAAAGTACAGACTGTATGGAAAAAATTATACTATTATAATATGCTTCTTATAGCACTGTGGTTTCATTATGAGTGTTTGTATTTATGAATAAGCCTTTATTGTTAGGGAGAACTGTGTCATGTATTTGTCACATGTAACATTTTTACAATGTCTCCTTGCATTAGTTTATTAGTGATGCCACTTCACAAAAACAGTGCAAAAGGCACTTAGCTGCATAAAGCACAACCCCAGGCACTTCCCTGCATATGGAGCTGCAATGAATTATTCCCAGAAAACTCTGCTCACACCATCGATAAAGATGCCCAGGGCTTGCCCAGATCCTAAACACCGCTTGAAGCTGCACCTGCTTAACAAATTGAAAGGCCTGACAGATGAAATTAAACATGCCCTTAAAATGCAAACTGGCTAGCATGGAGAATCTTAGATACTTAGATAATGCAACCTAGCAACTCTGCTCCATAAACTGCTGCTAATTTCAATCACCAGAATAAAACACTGATCTCACTGTAATGTTTATTACTGCTGCAAAATCTAAGTTTGCATGTCTATATCCTTTTAAGGTATCATATAATGAAGCAATGTAACTCATTTACAGCAGACAACATTTCTTGCATGACATTAACATCCACTTCACTCATTTTAGATTGTACCATACTGGAATGTACAGTACATTGCTTCTTTACTGCAGGTTAAACAATCTCATTATAAATGACTGTACTCCTCATCTCTACTCCTCTCTCACTCAATGCTGCTTTCTCACAGCATCTCTTTTTCTCGTTGAAGAGTAACTGTCTTCATTTATTTCTGCCATGAACCCCTGTCTAATGACTATTTCCAGTACAGGTCTTGGTGGAGCACAAGAGGGGAACTGTCTTCTGCTGGCTCAAACTGTAAAGGCTGTAGTTTTACATACCGTGTTTATGCTTGCTGTTCTATAAAATCACCCACAATAAATAACAAAACTGGACAGAAATCAGGACAAAGCCTATGGATTATTTTTCTCAAGCACACTGGAGAATTAAGATGTGTGCTACCACAGCGGTGAGGGTGTTCGTGGCAACCATATGCAGTCACGTTCCAGGAACTGGGAAATGACCAGGAGAGATTCATCTTCCAGACGCTGCGGTCGGAATCATCAGACGGCACCTGTGGAATTGGAATGAGGTGCCACTATCCTTAGGGATTTCCCACCCCCCGCTGCTCTATCCCTGAGGTACTGGGTCTTTCCAGAGTGTCAGGCTATGCTGAAAAGCCAAGCTGCTGTATGTATGCTTGCTGATGAGCTGCTGGTGCTCACACGATGGCCATGATGGGGAATTCTCCTCCCTCTCCCACACTGCTCTCACGGGACGATGCCACGGGCTTTGTGAGAAAGTCTCTTGTCCCAATAATTCAAGAAGCTCACACGCAACCACAGGTCACATGGGAACCCATTGGCACAATTAATACAGACCTCTATATGAAGCCTGCAGAAGTGCACAGAGCTGCCCGTGAGATGAAAGGTTGTTAGATGAGCTAGGATCGGCTTCCTTCCTCTAAATTTAGTCTAAAACAACAGTTTAACATTTCTCTAGCTGCAAAAAAGTACATTGAAATCACACTGATTATTTGGTCGACAAAATAATATTTGCAAAGAGTGATTTGCACTTCTCAGTATTTATATATCCCAGTACTACCCTTACACAACTGCATGGGTGTATTTTACAGTGTAAGTTAACTGTTTATATAACCAATAACTATAGCCATTTGACAGACATAGATAAAATATATCAATATACGGGTCTCAAAAAATGTGCTATTCAGAAAAACACGAAAGCATTAATTTTCTGTTTGTCAATTTAAAGTATACTTCAAATATTTAATTTATACCGGTATTCCCCATGCTGAAAATTATGTTTATGCCCCATAATTCAGCAATTTATTACATTCGGTAAAATGCCATAAATTGCATACATATGGCATTTGGTTAAAAGACTCACAAAATCTCCAAAAATATGGCCTTCCTAATTCCTGATCCCATTCTTGTACATACAGTATTATCTTGAACCCTTTACACTATCATATACAAATTGACCTTCATTATAAGTAGATGTTCAGGGTTTTTTACTAGAAAGCAGAACTGGCTATAGGAAATTTAAATGAAAGCCATGTGATTAAAAAGCACACACCTAAAACAAGGAGCCCTGTTCATGTGTCACATAAATCAATAGTAAAATCAATAAAATACTGCTAGCTAAACAAACACTGGTAAGATGGCGGGCAGAGGGGAAAGAATTGAAAAGGGCTGCCTTGAGTCAGTTGAGTTCCTTAAAATTTTAGTTAATAAACTTTGGGCTAACAGAGCGTGTTTGTCCCTCCAGCTCTGCCTCTGTTTAACTTTCTACAGCCTTACAGCACCTGGGGACTAAAATTAAACGCAGAGGTTTGCCTACCTAATCCTTCTCCAAATACTGAAGTATTACTGCCAAGTGCAGGGCACTGCAGATGCTGTATAAACAGCCAGGGGAGCCATCTGCACCAGGGATTTGTCTGGGGAGACCCAGCTTGATTAAACCTAGGGGTGAAAGGTTCGACACTGTTCTCGGAGAAAACGAATTATTCTCAGTGAGAGACTGTTCCTTATTGATGAGTCTCATACATCGATCAATTTTGTTTTCCTGGGGCTGTCGATAGAGGGATTTGAGCAACTCAAGGAGGCGGAAAAGACACAGGATTGAGTTGTCACAGTTGCAACATCAGGGCAGAATTAATCTGTTCTCCACACTCATCACAGACTTCCAGGCAACTGCATCTTAGAAGACATTTCATTCAGGGCACATGGGATGTGTTAGACCAGGAGAGTCTCTTGGCACCAGACTCGGACCCCAAAGGACAGAGCCTCCATAACCATGTTCTCTGATATATTCTCAAACAGACGTCAATATATTTACCCCAACTAACAAGACAAGGTCTAAGCATGTAAGACTTATTTATTTTTTGCTATTTTCTTTATATACTAGCGTCAATCTGTTTTGATGAGTTTCTCAGATAAAAAAACAAATACTGGCTCATGTACATTTAGATTTGTTCTAGAAAAGAGGAAAAAACACAAGACTTTCTTAACTACGTTAGGCTAAGAGATGTCACTGTGTGCAGAAACACACAGTGACATCAAAAACTTCCTCATACACATGACACCCACACCAGGATTTTCAGAGGCTTTGGTCAACAGAGGCATACACCATTTCACTTAATCCATCTACCAACAAGAAAATGATTAAAGCATTTTAGAGAGCAGACAGCAAGGCAACAAGCAGTAAACTAACACACATTGTCCTTGGGTACATGTTTTTAAAACCTTGGCTTAAAGATAAGAGAAGAACTCATTGGTTTTGCCAATGCAATTTATGACAAGGACTTCACTCTCACAAATTCTCTTATCACTTCCTAGATCTTTACCAGAACACAGGGTGAAGCTACAGAAAGATCCAAGTTGTAAAAAATGAGTACAAAGCATTTCCCAAATGTCTTCTGTGTGTGCCTATCAGTCCAGGTTTCTGAGTCAACTATAACACCAGATAATTGAATTGAATCTACTGTAATTAAGCTCTTCATCACTTTATATAAAGTAAAACTGACCAAGACATTAATCTGCAAATATAATGATTTCTGTGCAGTGTACAGCAACTGTATGTATAATTTAACATAAATGTTCTTGTATTTACCTATACAGGTGAGGTTGTAAGGGGTGAGGGGAACTGAAAGGTGCCAGGCAGGTTAGGGAAACACTCATTTAAGTCAGAATTGAATTATAAATGCACAGTATTTGCAATGCACACCTGTGCCCCTTCATGTCATACATACGGAGATTTCCACAGGGCCAGGGAAGAGGCTGGAGAGCTGCTACAGTACAGTAAGGATGATATCCAAGCGATACAACCCCCACACCCCAGTACTATATCATGGGTTATAATACTTCTTACACTCCAACCACTCGAATTGCTCTACAGGTAATGGGGGCACCACTCCACCATCATCAATGTGCAGCCATAGTGTGCCAGTACACTCACCAGCTCTCAGTGGGGAGGAGGACAGAGTGATGAAGCCAGTTCAGAGATGGGGATTATTAGGAGGCCATGAGTGGTAAAGGCCAGGGGGCAATCTGGCCAAAACACTGGGGCTAAAAGCCCTACTCTTCTCGAGAAATGCCCTGGGATTTTTAAGGACCACAGACAGGACCTCAGTTTTATGTCTGATCCGAAGGACGGCTCCTTTTCCAGAGCAGTTTGCCCAGGGCCCGTCTGTGGCTCGGAAGGGAAATGCTCGTCACCTGCTAGGGTATAACTGATGAAAGGGAGAGGGCAAGAGGTGGGGTGGGGGGTGATATGACATCGCTTTCTCAGTGATGCTGATTCCACGGGAAGTGGTCAGAGTCTCCGCTGGGTTTGGCCTTGGAGGGGGTGGAGGGTCCAGGGACTCACCGACTTGGAGGACTCCAAGGATCCGGAGGACAGGGTGTCCCTGCTGCCCCGGCTCTTGGAGCTCAGGTGAGGGGAGGAGGAGGGCGAGTCGTCGATGTAGGGCATCATGTCATGGTGCCGCCGCTGCTCCTCCGCCCGGTCCGCGTCGTAGCCATAGGTGGGCGGCGTCCCGCTGAAGGAGGCATCTGCAAGAGAGGAAGGGGTCAGCTGGGGTCAAAGGTGAAAGTTCAACATCCCCCATCAACCACTGTAATCTCCATTCCTCTCTATCTGGGCCATTGTTATTCTTGACCAGGAAGACGTGATCTGAAAATAACTAAAAGAAAATTAGCCCCATTTTATTCATTCCTCATTTATCATTTTTAGAACTTCTAATAGATTTAATTGAAGATTTTATCCAGTAGTTTTTTTTTTAAACACATTTTTCTCATTTTTCACAGGAGGGAAAAACATCAAATTGAGATTGCAAATCAGTTCTACACTTTGGAGCTATTCCTGCTTTAGAGCAGAATACTAATCTTTTACATTTTTGTTAGAACGTTATCATTTTGTCAGCATATACCATCAGAAACTGGTTAAAATGGAAAGATATTTCCCCCCTACATTGTCTAAGTTGTAGAAGCAATATGAACCAATTACTTGGCTTCATAATTTCATCAAACTAATCTCTGTGATGGAGAAATGTCTCAAAAAATGAATCAATGTTCTAATATTACAGTCCTTTTTTTAATTTCCTACTTAGAGGGAAGTCAGCACCAGCAAATTCTGATTAGAACACAATACCACAGTGCTCTACCGTTTATTAATATGACAGCACCACTCATTCAGAGAATAAAAACCTCAGTGTTTTATTATTTTTCAATTTCAGATAGGGCGACTGTCTAATTTAAAACGATTTTCTCCTTGAGGTTTTTATTTTATGGGCCTTCGTATTCTAAAAACCTCCACAAAAATTACAGGAGATAAATTTGCTAATCATCAATTGCATTTCTTTCTTCAACACCATAGATACTGCCTTCATTAAAAATCGGTAGTCCACTTGTAATTACTGGCACTTAAGAAAAGGGTTTGAATATAGCTGCTGTCAAAGAAATTATGAATTAAATTAAGCAACCCACACATCACTAATCTAGGAGTCTTTAAATGATCTTACTAAAAAATGTCATGGATTAAGAAAGGCTACAGTTTTGAAAGGAAATTGATTATCTGTTACTTTGGGGAGGCCTTCAAGTCTGACAAAAGAGAAGAGAAAGTGTCCTATTTAGAAGTTTAGGACTTTGGCAGACATTTTTTCTGGCTGTTTCTCAACATCCTTTTTTTAAGGTTCCTGAACAATGAATCTTTGGCTTGTGAAAGCACCTGACCGGAGTTTCAACAAAATCAATGTCTTTACGCTCAGACCCAAATTGGCAGGCAAGGTATTCATTTAAACGAGCAAACGGCCTGTTCTCTCACTCTTGCAAACCCACATTGTGACATTTCCAAAACATCTGACAACGACTGCTAAGAGCAAAGGCCCAGCAATGAAGACACAGATGCACAGGCCCAAAATTAAGCTTCTTTGCAGTGCCAGTAGATGCTTGTATAATCCGCTTTTGGCATCCATTTCCCTAAAATACTTCATTTTCAAATTGAACATGAGAGCTTATAATCAGAGGACTAAGCACTAGTAGAGCACCTTTGAATTTCATTAAAGCTTTTACTAAGAGCTTTTAAAAATTACCTGCCCTTGTGAACTGGTGTACCCAACATGACTCTTTTATTCAGAAATCGCGCTCTCTCATCATTTCATTAAGATGTGCACAGACATAGCAAACCAGTTTTACTGCCTATCTGTCAGTGTCAAACAGGTGAATTGTTGAAAGATTCTTGGCACCTCTGAGATTGAGGAATGTCTGTGTAAATACTGAGGCACTGGTACCCAAAGGAAATAAAAAACACCCATATTTTCTTGTGAATTTTTCTTCCTTATGTGAATGGTTTCTTGTTTTTTTTTAGGCTTTCAAGGAACAAAAATCATTTTTCCTCAAAATGCAGAAAACATCACAAATACACAGTTGTTCTTGGTCACAGCAGGCTTTCTGCTGCCAACATAATCTTTTGCGACTCACAAAAATAAATTATGAAGCTACTGTATTCAAATCCCACACGACCTTCACTGCCAAACCCTAGTGCACCATTCTGCCTGTGGGATACCGAAACGCTGGCTCCAATCCACACACACAAGCTAAAATAATCTCAGTCACAGCTTTCTTTGGCTCAGAAAACAGAATCTCCTTCTAAATGCATCAGGAACACAGAAAGCAGCGATCCATTTATGATTTTCTCATTTAGAAAAGGACAGGCATATTTGGAAAGAAACTTGCCTCCTGACATTAAAACATCAGTTTCGGCGAAGAGTTTTCTTCGTACACGACAAAGCCCTTGAAGTCACTCACTGAAAAATAACCAAAGTCTGTACGGTGGTTTTGTTAGTTTGATTTAAGAACTACTAGAACTGGAAAATTGTACAAATTCTCATCGAGTTTTTACTTGCGTTTGAGGCCCCTGCTCTAAATGGAAGATTTTCAGATATAAATGTGTTACAAATATAAATAACATCACACACAGTATATAGGCTGCATTGTGTCAGCTTCTTTATAACCAACTGATCATTCGAGGGACTTGTAGCACCAGTTCCTTGTTGCCATACACAGCCCAGGTTGTTGTTTAACTAGGAGATACATACAGTACATGTACTGTAACTACTGCTAACTAAACCCTAGTTAAAAGCCATGAAAAGCATACAAAACACATTTTATATCTTTCAATGGATGGCAATCCAGACTTTAAATCAAAAAGCCTTTTGGGAACTGGAATAGACAACCATGCACCTAGACCGTGGGAGTCAAAATCAAAAGGAAAGAATCAGTTTCTACGTCCATTCCATGCAGACCAGTAAGATGCGGTATGTTGGCCTGCTGAACACAGCTTAACGGGCACTCACAGGAAACAGGGGTCTTCACCCAGATTTTATTTCATTTCCCCCTGAGAGTTGGGGGGTTGGGATTGACCAGCAAAACTCTAGAATCAGTTTAGGCCGGAAAAAAATAATTTGATTGATCTGTGAGCAATTGGGTTTCCTCTTTATCCCAATCAGCCCCAGCCCAGCATAGTCTGTGGAAGAGTCTGTTCGCACCGGCATTACAGGGCTGGGCATTAAACTCAGCTGCTGTAAAAACTGACCTCTTAAAATTACCCCCCACATCCCAGTTTGAAATGAGGATTCATGCACTGATGAGCATGTACAAACTGGCACAGTGAAGAGGATGGTATTTGCCACTACAGTTAACTTGAGGGGGTAGTCACTGCAACCTATCCCACCATGCCACTAGAGCAGAGTTACATGGCAACTGGGCTCCGAGCAGAGCACAAGCCAAGTGTTGGCAGCTCTCACAGAAACAGCAGGAGAAACAATTACCCAGAGTTTGTCCAGATAGTTTTACTGCAATAATAAATTATAGTAATAAAGGTGACAGTTCTGAAATGTGTCACACTGGGGCGAATTTAATAAATCCTCAGCTCTTCGTAATTATCTCTACAGCTTCTATAGCGGTCTCTGCATGGCTTTACAGACGGACTGTTAAAGCTCAGTCCCTCCCAGTTACAGGCAAGGCTTTGGAAGGCTTTACTTTTAAAATTGCATTAATAAATAACTGGGCTGCATGGTGGTGCAGTTGTTAGCAGTGCTGGGGCCCTGGGGTTAATTCCTGGCCTGGAACGCTTTCTGAGTGGGATTTGTATTTTCTCCCCGTGTTCACATGGGTTTCCTCCTGGTGCTCTTCTTCCCTCCCAAACTCTAAAGACATACTTGGAGGTTAATTGGCTTCTGGGAAAACGGGCCCTGGTGTGAGTGTCTGTGCGTGTCCTGTGATGGACTGGCGTCCTGTCCAGGGCGTACCCCGGCTTGTGCCCGTTGAGTGTTGGGATAGACTCCAGCTCCCTCAAGGAAGGCACCATATGACTTTTTTTCTGAACACGGATAAAGACGGGTACCCCCACTTGAGCAGTACCTGGAGATCGAGCCGAGGAAGCCAAGGAGCGCTGAGGTGGGGACATTGACTATGCAGGGCAGTAATGATACTGGGCATTTAGGGCTTCAACCAATGGGATACACTAATCCAGATCTAAGGTGTGAGATTGCATAAAAGCAACATTGTCGTCTTTGCTAATGCATAGTAAGAAGTAAAGCTTCATTTTGCTAGTCAGGGCTTAATTTCAAGACTGAAGTGCCACCATTTAAAAAAAACAAATCAACTAGTTGTAGCAGTTGATTTGAGGCCAGCTACCTCATTACTGAGAACAGTCAGTGCCCTTTCAGTCCTTCACTGCAAATCATGTGTATGATTTCCTAAACCACATGGGCCTTTAGCCATGGGGAGTGCTAGTTTAATAAGGTAGCCATGAATCACACATAAACCACAAAGGAGGAGAATCCTGACTCTCTAATCTCCCAGCCTAGCACAGTTTAGAAAAGAAGATCCCACTCTAAATTGGGCTTGAGTGGGAGTTAGCAACATCTGGGAACATCTGTAAGGCATTCCTCCCTTGATGTTCCAGCAGGATTCCAACAGCAATGGACTCCCCTCTGACTAGAGTGCGTGACACTGCTGTCTCGTCATCGAGCAGGAGCCTCAAAGATAACATACTTGTCCTTTCTTAACAATCACAGCAGTTAAATAAGCCAAGGAATTCAGCACAAAAGTCATCACAAGTGTGGCCAGACAGTCGAATGCCTATAAAACAAAGTTGCCACAGTTGTACAAAAGTTCTGTTATGACCCAGTTACAAAAATATGTTAAAATGGTCTAATTAGACATTTTGCAGGATTTCCAAATTTAATATTTTCATTTACCTTTCCACCAAGAAACGTCCTTTCTCTCTGGACATCACTTAACATATGGTGATGTCTTAATTTGACACTTAAGGTACAGCTCATACAGAATTCAGAGAGGTACACTGTATAATTTGTATTTTTTTCTCAGATCTATTAGCAGCTAAATACTCGAATTTCCCCATCTATGCTCAGGCTATCAATAGAGGTCACTGAGCTTTACAGAATGAGGATGTGCAGAGGTCTTGAGACATCCCAGACAACACTCACTTGGCACAGGGACAAAAATGGAAATGACTCAAAACTAAGAAG